CAGACATCTGGCTATATTTCATTACCAGCCAATGTGCTCCTTGACCTGTGAGCATTCAACACGGCAAGAGATCCAAATGCTGCCGATGCTAAAAGGACAACTTTGGAAGTTAAACACAAATACTTTGAACATTTTCAGTGAAATAACTTTGCTCTCTGGTCAGAGGTAAACTCACCAGGAAAAGCCAAAATACTTAGTATGTTACCTTCTTAACATTTTATTCAATGTGAAAAAGTTTAGTGGACTATGGTTCTTAACTAACTCTTCATATACCATACTATATTTTATTAAATGATATTTAAATCATGAGTTGTTACTTAGAACACTGGAAGCTAAAGGTGATCCATAAGGGGAAGATAAAGGGCAAATGCTTTTTATGACTCACAGAAGTAGACCAGACTCCACAATTGAGTTTACTCTTGTTTATATCAAGTTGTGTTTTCTGCACTTCCTAGCAGTCTCCTTGGAAGATCAGGAACCAAATTCTGGTGGTCAGTGCATCCACCAAACTTTCAACCAGTAAAGACACTTGTGAAAATCTGCTGAATATCCATGTCCAGAGTCTGTCTTTCTCTAATATATGTCAACTTAAACATGGCACTGCTTCTATATCAGAACAGTAAAGACACATTAACAAGAGACGTTGAACTGGCACAATGATATTTGCAAATCCCACCTTTTGCTAGAGAGGAAGGAAAAGGATAAAAACAGGACATCCATCAGGTTAACAGGAAAAGTAGGAAGAAAAACCTGACTAAAAGTATCCAACTTTGCAATTAATATAGTCCATTCAGTAGCCACCTGGGAGACACATTTTAATCAGGTTTCTAGTCAAGACTGCAGCTTTCCATGTCTGTAGTCATTGCTGCATTTGTTCTTTTTATTTATTATAGAATAAAATAGCTCAGGTTGGAAGGGACCTACAAGGATCATTATGCCCAGCTTCCTGCTCCTCACAGGACTACCTAGAACAAAATCCTATCACTAAGAGCATCCTACACACACCAGAGCTCTGTCAGGCTTGGGAATGTGACCACTGCCCTGAGGAGCCCGTTCCAGTGTCCAACCACCCTCTGGGGGAAGAACCTTTTCCCAGTGCCCAACCTGAGCTTCCCCTGACACAGTTTCCTTCCAGCTCCTCGTGACCTGTCACTGGTCACCAGAGAGCAGAGATCAGCACCTTCCTCCTGTGAGGGAGGTGCAGAATGCAATGGGGTCACCCCTCAGCCTTCTCTTCTCCAGGCTGAACTGGCCACATGCCCTCAGATGCTCCTTGTACATCTTACCCCTGAGGCCTTTCATCATCCTGGTCACCCTCTCTGGGCACACTCCCATCCTTCAGTGTCCTTTGTATGTCGGGGCACCCAAAACTGCCCCCAGGGCTCAAGGTGGGGCTGCCCTGAAGCAGAGCAGAGCAGGACAATCACCCCTTCACACAGATGGAGATGCTTTGCCTGATGTCCCCCAGGGCACAGTTGGCCCTTTGGGCTACCAGGGCACTGCTGACCCCTACTGAACTTGCCATCGACCAGGACCCCCAGGTCCCTTTCCAGGGGCTGCTCTCCAGCCTCTTGTCCCCAAATTTGTAAACATAACTAGGATTAGCCAATCCCCTGTGCAGAATCTGGCACTGGTTCTAGTTAGATTTCATACAGTTGGTGACTGCCCAGCCCTCTGCTCTGCCCAGACCTCTCTGTAAGGCCCCTCTACCCTCGAGGGAGTCCATAGTTCCTCCCAGTTTAGTATCATCAGCAAACTTAATGTATCTTTGATTCCTACACCCAAATAATTCATAAAAACATTCAAAAGCACTACCACCTGAGCTCTGGGGAACCCCACTGGTGACTGGCCACCAGCCTGATGTGACCCCATTTACTGTAACCCTTTGATTGCTCACCCAGTATATGATGGACTTGTCTGGCTGCATGTGGGACAGTCTATCCAGGAGGATGCTGTCGTGGTTTTGCTCTAGGTCAATTTTTTCTCACCCCCCACACAACTACTATAAATTGAGAGAAGGTTTATGCAGACAAAAGAGACCTGATTTGGGAAAATAATATTAACATTTATTACTGGCAAGATAAAAAACTAAAGAACTATATCTACAACAATTCTAATTAGGTAAAAATATTATGTATTTACAGAAATACCTTTCCCCCTTTTGTATCAGTCCAGGAGGAGAAACAGTCTCTTTTTTCGTTTTTGGAGCTCCAGGTCCTTTCAATAACTCTGCAGCACTCTAAAGCTCTTCTTCTGTTATCTCTAGGATGACAACTCCTAGTTGTTGCAGCTGGAACTGTTTCTCTTTCTCTCTCTCTTCTATGTTGGCCTCACGGCTGGGCCTACCCCCCTCCTGGGCTAAGATTGGAGGCTGGGGGATTACCCAGGCCCTGAAGGTCTTCCATGGACTGCAAGGGGCCACTTGCATAGATCTTCACCACAGGGTCACAGGGGATAATGGCTTTTGAGTCCACCCCTGTTTCCTGTGGGGTCCCTCCCCACGGGAGAACAGCCCTTAATAGACTTTCCCGATGTGAGTCCATCTCTCAGACAACAAGGTCTTCCATTCTCTGCTGTCTCTCAGGGTCACAAATTTCACTCGGATCCCAACTCAGGGTGACAAATCTCCAGCACCAGCATGGATCTCTCACTGAGATCCCAAGCTTACCTGAGCCGTCTCGTCCAGTGTAAGCCTCTCTTAGGGTCACAAATCTCCAGCAGCAGCATGGATCCCTCACTCGGATCCCAACATCTTACCCAAGCTGTTCTGCTCCGGCGTAAGTCTCTCCATGGCTTACAAACCTCCAGCAGGACTCTCATTTCAAGCCTTCTCATGAAGTCTCAGCTTCTTCCTGCATCCACAAGCTCCTCTATGAGCTGCATGGGGGGTCTCTTCACCCCAGTAATCTTCCACAGGTGGCAGGGATTTATTTTTCAGTCTTTTCCCTGCTGAAGGGAGAGAGTGAAAGAGGGGAGAGAAGCAGCCCCCCCTTCAAACTTCTCTCTCCTGCTGCTGCCAGCTTTGACCTTGGAGGTCTGTGCTATCTCTCTCTCTCTGGAATTCCTTTTGCAGCATGTCTTGTCCAGGTTCTTCTCTAAAGTGTTTTTTTCTCTACTGTCCTACAGGAGAGAAGGGGGGCTTCAGTGCCACACCTGCCCCCGGCCCAGGGCCAGGGGAGGAGGGGGCCTGACTCCACTTGGGGCCTGCCTCTCTCTCCCTACATGGCTCCTAATTTCAAGTGCACAACAAACTTCTCTTCCATTTTCTTAAAAATGTTATTGGCAGAGGTGTTACTGAAACTTTTGATTGGCTTTTTCTCTGGAAATCCACCTGGACAAAACCATCCTCAGCCCCAGGGGCTGGCTGGTGGGCAAAACCATGGCAGATGCTGTGAGAGATGGTATCAAAAACTTTGCTAAAACCCAAACTCACCACATCCACTGCCTTCTCTTGGTTGTAAGTGGAAAGCAAGCAGGTTAAGCAGGACTTTCCCCTCGTGAAGCTGTGCTGGCTGTGACCAGTGACTGCACTGTCTCTCAACTGTTTTTCAGTAACTCCCAGAATAACCTTCTCCGTAATTTTACCAGGCGCTGAAGTGAGACTGACACGCCTGTAGGTTCCAGGCTCTTCCTTCTTACCCTGCTTGAAAACTGGGACAACAATTGCTACCTTCCAGTCAATAGGAACCTCTCCACTCAAAACCACTGAACAATAATGGAAAGAGGTCCCACAGTAACATTCACCAGCTCTTTCTGTACCCTGGGATGGATTCCATCAGGCCCCATAGATTTATGCACATTCAGCTGGAGGAGCCAGTCTTGAACAAGCTCAGGATTTGCTGGGAGTTTGTCATCCTCTTAGTCACGGACTCTGGTCCATACACGTTCTTTTTCAGTTCCAGAAGAGGAACCCTGCTCAGTCAACCCCTCCTGCTTCCCTGCTGGCATGTCTGCCCATGTTTTGGAATTGCCCACAACCTCTTTGCAAACTGCACATCTCAGAGGGCACCTTTTCTAGCTGGCCCTCTCAGTCCCTGCAGCAAGAAGTTATCTTCAACGTGCTTCAGAAATTTCCTGGACCCGTTTGTGTCCACTATAGGATATTTCCAGTTGATGTCAGGGAACTTAAAATCATTCTTAAGGCCCAGAGCAGTTGATCTAGAGATATTCCTTAATTCCTTGTAGAATAATTCATCAGTGTCGTTGTCCTGGCCAGGTGGTCAATAGTAGACTCCCAAAACATACTCCCACAACTCCTCCTATATATAAATACATATATACACACACACACATTTTAAAAAAAGGTAACTTTTTACTTGTACTTGTAGATTATGCCCTAACACTTCATTTAGAACTGCCAAGCCTTGACATCTTCATTATAACCATTTCCCTTATTACACAGATGGAAATAGAAGGGTCTTTCCAGTGCCTCCCAAAGACTAATAAATGTTGAAAGAAGAAGTTAAGAATCCTCTATATCAAGCTTCCATAAACCTGTAAGACCTCAACAGTAACATTCACAGGATGTTTTCTAGAACAATACAGATGGACTAAGGAAAAAAGAAATTCAGGGTGTTATTAGTTTGGGGTGACTATTACTTTAGGGCCTTGAAAAACTATTTACGGTTCCATTTCAGTCTGTGTCACACAAATTCCTGCCCCAAACAGTTCTGACTATGAATTACAGATAGAATCTTCAGTGGGCAGAATTCCAGCACCTCTAGTGGGTCATCCTGGGAAAATTAGTTGCTTGTTTCATGCACTGAAGCAATACTTATGGGATGCTGTGCAACCAAAGGAAAGATCTGATACACATCCCAAAGAAAATCTTTTGTTAATCAGACCCCAGGGAATGCAGTTAGAGCAAGGGAGTGCTGGGAGAAGGAACAGTCTGAGAACCATTTTCTGGGGGCTGACAAATTTTACATTCCTGCTCACCCAGGATTTTCTTTTTCCCAGTTTTATCCTGTTTTAACTTTATGCTTCCTCTTTTTCCCCAGTGCAGTTCGACATGATGAGGGCCTGTAACCTCATCGCCACGGTGGCTCTGACTGCGGGCCAGCTCATCTTCGTGCTGGGGCTGGTGGAGCTCCCCCTCATCTCCCAGGACACCCAGTGGTGGGAGGAGGCCATAGCTGCCGTGTTCCAACTTGCCAGTAAGTCCGCTTCTTTTTACTGATGGAAAAGTACTCGGTATCTATTAAATCCAGGTGGAAAAGAGTTTCTTACTTTATAAATCTTTCAAGTGACAAAGATTAGCAAAAAGGCCTAAATCTAAATGCAAGTTCATTGTCTCCGACAAGCTCTCCCCATGAGATTCTGCAGGACATGAATAGAAGCTTTTATCTGGGATATATCAGAATGAGGCTTCTGCCAACCAAGAAAAACAAGCCTTTATTATTTCCTACTAAACCAGGAAGGCAAACATAAAAGAAATAAACTGGATGCACTGTAATCCAACAATTTAGCAGGACAAAATATACCAAAGGAACTGTGAGAAAGCAGAGCAGAAGGGCGAAGAAAATTTTTGAAGCCTTGTTGAAACATGGTTATTTGCTTTTAGCTAACTGAATTTTACTCAATGACCACCAGCTGGATTTTGGCAGACAGATACCTCTACAATCCAGTAAAGAAAACTGAAGTCAACTCATACCACTGACTGCTCTAAATAAAATTCCTACAGCAATTCTCATGGACTGTATACAGAAATGCATGAGGAAAGGAGAAAATGAGTTTATCACAATTCCATGTTGACAACAGTGGCAACAAAGTATAAACATTCTGCAATAATACCTTTCTTTACTACATAAAGTAAGTCACTACATTATACTAAGTCACTCATTACACTAAGAGTCCAACCCTATAAAATATCCATGCAGGAAACTGCCATTAATGGAGTAACATTCCAGCTGCTTACAAGATCAGATTAAAAATACAACATTTATATATATATTTATATATATATAATTAATGTAAAAAACAGCTAATAAAGCAACACCATTTTGTTTTAAATTTCAATTTCAAATTTAACAACTCAGAATATTAAGAATGGCATAAAGCTACTGAGACCTCAGGTTTACACCACTGCAAGATCAGAATCTGGCCTAGGTCATTCAAGTAAGGTCTCACAGCAATAAAACGTTCAGGTTTATTTAGGTACATTAAGGACGAGGAACCTGAAATCCAGACAGAGGTTCTGTAACTCTCAAAGTACCTGATCCAGCTTCAGGTGCAGCAAGAGGCTCAAGCACCAGCCAGTGCTGCCAAAAGACAGATACATGGCCTTAGAATCACAGGATCAGCTGGGTTGGAAAGGACCTCTGAGATCACCGAGTGCAACCCTTGATCCAACCCCGCCGTGGTTCCCAGACCATGGCACTGAGGCCATATCCAGTCTATCCTAAACACCTCCAGGCCTTGCCATAAAAGCCCTCCTTACAGGCCCCCATGGTCTGTGTAACTGTGGGTACCTTCTGGAGAGTTCTGTGTGCCTGCTGTGCTCTCCCTCCTCCCACCCTCCCTGAGCTCGCCCTGTGTGTCTCTCCCTGAGCGGAAAGGCATTCTGGCCCTGTTTGGATGTGTTGTTTCATTGACAAGCAGCACAGGGGACAGCCGTGGGCCTTTCTTTTGCCACAGCTGCTAATTTTAGACTGGGCCTTTTTTTTTTTTTTTTTCCTGTGCTGGAGTCTGTTTTAAACACAGTTAGAGAGAGACTGAAGGGCGCCAGGATATCCCGACACAGGAGAAGGAAATGCCTGCTATTACCTGTTATGCAAGCTGAACCTTGAAATCCCCAGCGCTGGGAGGGGAGAGGGAGGAAAGCCAGAGTCAGAATGATTAACAAAACACAAATGAGAATGGCTGAAGAAGCTGTTGGATCGAGGAGTTCATCTGCCTGCCTGTGTTCAAGAGGTGTGAAGGGATGGATCTGGCAGCCTGTGACAGCTACAAAGACACTGAGGGTCTGAATCTGCAGAAGCAACACAGTGACTGTCACTGCCCCGTTCCCCACCCCTTTGCAGCTGCACCACACTCTACTCACTCACCACACATCGGATGGTTTTCTGCCCATGATAATCATTTTACATCTCATTATCTTAATGTAAGTTTTGTGTTTAAATGAATTCATTCCTGATATCCAGAACAACCTGCTGAAGTCTTCTGGAATGCATACTTTTGCAAAAAAGTGGGAAGAAGTTGTCATATCTGCCATTATCACAATAAAATGGGATGACTCCCTCAAAACCTCCCTACTTTTTTAGGACAGTGGTGTATCCACTGCTGACTCCCTGGGATATCAGGGGTCTGCACTCACCAAATTCCCTGGATTGGGCCCAGGTGACAGCAATTTAGACATTATGGATGAAGTGCCTTTGATATCAGATGAAACCCACATGCAAAGGGTGAGCAAGCCCAGTATTTCCACTGCTCCAATGAAGGATTGGTGCTGCACTGAGAGACAGAGAGTTCTACATTGAGAGGGAAGACAGTGGCCACCCGATATCCCATGAGCCACAGGTGACAGTCAGTCTCTGAGCCCCCACTCTGAGACAGTGACCTCTCAGCCTTTCTCAAAGAAAAGTAGCAATACTGGGCAAAAACATCAGAATAGTGAATACAATGCATGTATTTAAAAGCATTTGGTCCATTCAAACAGTCCAAGAGAAATCCCTGCAAAGCTCTTCCCTGCTTCTTTTCAAGGGTTAAAGCTACTTCAGGTCAGACAGATTATTTGTGTGAGAAGAATAGGTAATATTTAAGAATGGACATAATGAGATCTTACTAAACATTTCTGGCTGAGTAATTTCTGTTTATTACACTTTCAAATGAAAGGACACTAGCACCAACCTCCTGTTTTTTCCTTTTGAAAAGCCAAATGATCTGAGGAATTGTTCTACAATTCCTTATCCTGCCAGTACTTTCAGAAATTATCTTGAATCATGTTCCCTCAATTCCAACTTCTGCCTGATCTCTACCTTTCATCCTGGAATATGCCAACAAGTGCTGAATAGAACTGCAGTGGTCACTGGTAGAATGAGATCTCATATTATGAGGAAAGGCTCAAACTACGATTTTCTTATTTTTAGTCAATTGAAACTCTTCCATTAGAGTTTCCCATGGTCTGAACAGAAGTTCTTGTTGGCTAAGAAAACTAAGTGTGCTAAGTGTTATCTCCAGAGTCTATCACAAGCTCAAATCAACCTAATCCTCTGGAGCTTGCAGTGGCTCCAGGCTCCACCACTTCCTCACTCCTGCCACCTGCACAAGCATTTGACAGCCATTCAAAAAGGATGGACCTCTGACAGAAAATAAAGCCCCAGGAAGCAAAGAGGAAGGAAAAAAGAGAGGAAACAGCGCTGCTCCTGGGACAGCAACGGGATTCACACAGCTCCAAAGCTCCGCAGCCTCACACCTCCCTGGTAACAGGAAGGTGAGCTGTTTGCTTTGGAAAAGGCTCCTGGTGAAAATGGAACCAGCGTTGTATGTGGAATTTTGTGTCAAAGCTCAGAAATTCCCCTCTAGAGGGTTTTAGAGTTTCTAGTTTTTTCCAAGGAACTGTTACAAACTCCATGAGCCGAATATAGAATGAATAATAGCTGACAGAAGAGCTGTTGGAAAGGGAAATCCATACTAACAGCACAGGGAAGAAAGAGCTCTTCGGAGGATACTGAACTACTACAAGCACTAACCTGCCAGATGGGATCAGGCCTTGAGGGGCTCCAGTCAAGTCTTGATCTTGTACAATGATGATTATCACAGACTTTAGAGTGAAATGTTAGAAACATAATAGGAAAAATCTGGGATAGAATATCCCTTACATTAGATCTCATCCTGGTTTCTGAACGTCCAAGACTGCAATAAACCTGAATCGTAATGATTAATATTCTTGCCAGTCTGCTTTCAGCATTACATTATTTTAATACGTAATATCCTGTAGATTAAAAAGTTTTGTGTTCCTCCTTAGCTTGTCATTTACAGTCAAATAACTTACAGTCTCATCTTTCTTGGATTTCAAGCACTGCATTCCAGCTTTGCCTGCTGTGCTTTTCTGCTGATGCCGTGTTTCACTCCAGACCCCTAATCCATCCCAGCAAAGCTGAGCACAAGCACACTCTAATTCCTGTGCTGTTACAACTAAATCAAACAATTGTTGGACCATTTACCTTCTCCCTTCTTTTTGGGTCCAACGACTTTAGATTGATTGATATCCAGAAAACCTCAATGCAGATCAGAACAGCACAGCAGCCATCGGAGAACAGGGCCAAGGATATTCCTGATAGAATGTGATCGTGAGTTCTGTATTACTTCCTTCCACCTTTTTCCTTCACGACACCCTCAAGCCAGATCTGTTCTAAGATGAAATCTATGGAGCTGTAAACCTACTACTTCCTGGAAAGGAAGCAAATAAATGAGATGCTGTAAATAACCTAGAAATCATAACAAAAAGAGAGAACTTGACTGCTTGGCTAGTGCTAAATGTTTTCATTATTTCTCATTTTTATTTCACCTCAGTGCCAAACATGCCTGCTCTTTATGTGGACTGCAAACATGACAGTAAAATGATCTTGTTTTCACATACTTGCAAAATGAACTACATTTTCAAAGATCTTAAAATCTAGCAGACTGTCCCCCTTATTTTGTCTGAAGCAGTTCATGGGAGAAGCTGAACCAGCAAACTGGGAAGGGCAGTAGCTCACAAGAAGTGACATCTGGTCTAGCTGCAGCAGGGAGAAGATCTGCCTGCACTCTTCATGGCTAAACACTGACAAGAGCAGCAGGCAGGTTGTTGTAGCATCTCAATGTCAAGGGCACATATTCTGATTAGAAATATGGTAACAAATTATTACCAGATCGATATCATTTGGATATGCAAGGATAAGGAATGTTTTATGACAGTCACAGCATTAGAAATAATACAGTAATAAGTGTGTGAAATGAAAAGTTCTTCAACTCAATTCACCTTACTGCTTGTGAACAGGCACATCATGTATACATGGAGGTGTCTCCTGGAAACGATTCAAGCCAAGTTGCCTCCCTCGATCCAGTCATGCAGCTCTGACCCTCTGAAGAGTCAGGAGATGAACAGAGCACTTGAACAATGAAAGCAGAAGATGACACTGAAATGTCCAGGAGGATCATCTGTCAATGATGATCT